GTACATTTGGGACTTCTTCTGAAATGTCATTATCTGGTGATTCTACTAAGTTGTCAGAACGAGTGTCAGAAAAACTGTGATTCCCCAAACTATCATCTTCTTCGGCGTTTTGTCCATTGTTTTCTTTAGTTTCTTGTTCTAGACTACCTTCCCTGCTTCTGACAATCTTACAATTGTTTTGCTGAGAAGTTCCAACAGGGTCTCCCAACAATGGCAAAGTTGAAGTTATGAGTTTTTCGTCGAATATCCCAGCACTCGATCTGACTAGTTTCTCAGATTCTTACCATCATCTTGGTCATATCCTATATGCCTTTCACTGCTTTTTATCAATTTTCTTTCTTTTTGACATTGGTACATGGGCATAACAGGATGTTCCAATAATTCTCATGTGTTAAAGAAGGCTTTTTTTCATACTGTTCAAATGGAGATTTTCCTCCGATACTATTCAAAATGTACGCCGATGTATTTATTATTTCAGAATTTCACCCCAAAAAAGTTGTGAAAGATCTTCATTAGTATGCATGATGGATCTAGCAGTTTCAACGAAAGTACGATTGTCTCGCTCTGCACAACCGTTTTGCTCTGGTGTATAAGGCATTACGAGTCTCTGTTCGATTCCATTTCTTGTAGAATTTTTCTCACTTGACCATTGTCAAATTCTCCACCATTATCTGAGAGTAGCTCTTTTACTGTATGTCCTACTGTTTTTACTTCAGTAAACATAATTGTCAGTTTCTCCGCTGCTTCAGATTTTTTTTTCAGAAAGTAAACATAACGATAACGAGTGAAATTATCCTTGAAGAGCACGAAGTATCTATAGCCAATTTTGGATTTTTCAAAAAGCCCACAAACATCTGTGTGTAAGAGTTCTCCTGGTACCTTTTGCTCTTTCTCTCGTTCCAAACTTTCTCCTGTGCATTTCACCATGAATAAAACCCTCACATATTTCACTGTCTAAGCTCACTTTGAGGTCAAACTCACGACTTAAAATATCTCTGATGTGTCGTTTGTTTTGATGACCAAAGCATTCATGGTATAGTTCAGTTGCAATAAGTTATCATTTGAAACTATGTTGATTTGAGCTGTTTCCTTTGGCTTTATGATCTGCAATGCTAGTTTGTACAGTCCTCCAAATCTACTTCTTTCACCTTTCAGTTTGGTTTTACCACCAACTATAAAACTGCATTTTTTAGTGCTTGAAGTAAACTTTGATGTAGGCTGTAAATATTGTGCATGTGAAAGCGAAAATAATTTTTTTTTAATCAGAGGAACGGGAACGTACCATACGTCTGGTAACGTCAAAACATCTTATCTGTCTTGAATTTTTGTTTATACCAGAATGTTTCCTTTTCTCACTGCTCTGTCGTTATGGTGTGTGTAACAATTGTCTATAGTCCTGTCAGATTTTGACATTAACATCACAGATTATTAACATCCAGCTTGACTTGAAGGAGAAGTAGTCTTGGGGTAGAGTTTCTAAAATCTTACAGACTAACAGCAACTCAGGTAACTCACATTTACATGTTTTATTTGTAATGATTTTGTCTTTTGATAACCCCTTTTGCAACTCATTTCACAGGTTCGTGAGATTAGACGTGTGCGTTGCCATATCATCTTCAACTTTCTTCTTTTAGTTTTCTAAGCAAACATCATAGGTTTTGTCCTCAACATTGCCATCAAAGAGAACACAGACTTCTCTTGTTGTAGAAAACCTCATAACTTTTTGTAAGGTATCTTGAGTCATATTTATCGTGAGAGCAAGGAGTGCATTACAATTATTGAAACTCACTAGGCTTGCCTCATGCGCAGCAATTTCAACTGCTAACAAATTTTTTTTCAAAACTGGGAGCACCAACTTTTCTTCCATAATATCAACTGCATTTGGAATATTTCTTAGAAGAATGTTCATTTTGTACTTCCATGTGGTCCAATTAGCTTTACCTTCCAGTAATCCTATATGAACCTTGCTTGGATCCGTCCTTCAAAGTTCAATTACTACTTTTTCGTACTAATTCAGCCCTGATATTCTTACTATTTGTCGCCTCTTAACGCTCTGCTACCATGTTAAAGTTTGCGAAACCATGATCAAATTGAGAGGAAAATACGAAATACATTTGACACACCTATGCTCTGTCATACACCTTTTCAAAATATAATAAAATAAATGACTGGTCTTAGACCCCCACAAGGCCCCCACAGACTGGGTTTTTGTTTGACGGTTTTGTTCGACGAGCAAATCTAGTCGAGCAAAAACGACGGGTGGGAGTTGCACATAGACCTTGGTTTAGTTTGACGAAGAGATCATGTTGGAAGGTTTTTAATTTTTTTTGTTTTTATAATACCTGTTCAACTAGTCAAAATGCTAGGGTATATAGAGGAATCATAGAGGAGTAATTTGAGACAAGACACCGATGGTCAGAAGTGCGTCGTTTCCAAAATACAGGGTGTTGAAATTTAAACAACCCCCTTTCATATCATCTGAAGGGATAATGCTAGGCTGTTCAAATTTTCAGGGATTATTGATGTAGGAATGCTATTTAAAAATTCGTATAATGCACCCCCATTTTCTACTTGGAACCACCCCCAAAAACAAAACAAAAAATTGTTCCAATTTTTAATTATTTATTTTTTTGCGGCGGTTTCAGGTAGAAAATGGGAATTTATTATACGAATTCTTAAATATCATTGCTAAATCAATAATCCCTAAAAATTTGAACAGCCTAGCATTAGCCCTTCAGATGATATGAAAGGAAGTCGTTTGAATTTCAACACCCTGTATTTTGGAAACGACGCACTTCCGACCATCGGTGTCCCATCTCAAACTACTTCTCTATGATTCCTCTATATACCCTAGCATTTTTGACCAGTTGAACGGGGACACCCTGTATAAAATTCTGTAGCTACGCACAATGTTGCCAGATGTCCAATTTAAAATTATCAGAATTTGAGAACAAAATTATCAGATTTCAGGAAAAATTATCAGAAAAAGTTTTTTTTTTGAAAAAAAAAATAAAAATATTAATTAACCAAAAACTTTATTCTATTAAAAAAAAGCCTAGTTTTCGAAAGATGCTGGAGCGTGCTGCCTGCATAACTCTAATTCTAGCTGGGATTAGTGTTTGGTGCGCGCACCAGTACGTCAAAACCACCAACCACCTTTAGTTTATTTAATTAATTTTTATTAATTAAATAAAATTTGAAAAATCTGTATTAAAATTGTAGTTTCAATAAATTATGGTAGATTAGCTTGTCATTATTGATTATTGAATCATAGTCAAAATTATGGTAGATTTCTATAATTATCGGGTCATTGGCAACACTGGCTACGCACCACATACCACACAAAACTATCGTTTTTAAAATTCGTAGCCCACACACTTCAGATTTGTTGACATATCGAACATTATCCGACGGACCAAAATCAGCCGACGCCAGATATTTGCATCGGTTTTTGTATGCCAGCAAAAACGACAATTTCTCGCACACGCACTTCGGTTTTGCGTCGTTTTTTCTCGACCGGACTTGCTCGTCGAACAAAACCGTCCAACAAAAACGCAGTCTGTGGGGCTCTTTAATGGCCGTTTCTACCAACTATTTTAGGGAAGCCTTAATGATAAGTATTCCTTAAAATGATATTTCTCCATGTAAAAATGTCATTTTAGGAAATACTTATCGTTAAGGCCCCCTAAAATAGTTGGTGGAAATGGTTATAAGACTTCCATAAAGATGTAAAGTCCGTTTTTTTTTAAAAGAGAATTCCCCAAGTCAAAAATTTAGTAACTATGTTGGCAGCACAAGCCTTTCCTACATAAAAAATTTGAAAGCATTGACAATTTTACATTGTATTGCAAACATAATGTCACTTTTATCTTAAAAAAAAAAACAGACTTTAGAATGTTCTTTAACATTTTCAACACGAAATTTCAAGCTTATGTGGAAACTGAAAGAAGGAGGCACAATTTCAACCAAAGTACCAAAGTACAATATTTTAAAGGTATCATCATTGCAAAGAAAAATCTGAAATGTAAAGAGGATCGTATGTCTGTGATAGCAGATATAGCTCATCAAAGTACGTAGGTCCTGGGTCCTGCTATGCTATGCATAGGAAATATCTGAGAAAATATCCCTACGTAGATTTTCTTGGATATCTCGAAAAATACTAATCCGATTTTGACGTTTTTGGGGTCGTTTTGTAGGTATCAAACTCCAAAAAGGTCAAAATCGGATTAGTATTTTTCGAGATATTCAAGAAAATCTACGTAGGGATATTTTCGGGGATAATACCACGAGAGCTTCAAAATTACCATTTTTCACGATTGCGTTTTCTATAATTTCACGAGTCCGTAAGACGAGTGAAATTTGCAGAGAAAACACGCATGAGTGAAAAATTATCTGGTTAATTTTAAAGCTCAAGTGGTATTTAGAGGATTATTTCACGTATGAGAATGCAAAAAATATGGAAATAAATATGTATTAAACTATTTGAACATCTTAACAATCAATACAAATAAATGGTTGCTATCAGGAACCGTTTATTTGTATCAAAAATTAGCATGACAACCATGTATACAATAACATGGGAGAATTATCGCTGTAATTCTCTCTAGTTAAACAAATGGAAAAGAGAATTTTCGCTGTAATTCTGAAAATCGTCACTTGTCTTATGGGATTTTTAACACATGAGTGGAATAATCTGGGATATTTCCTATGCATAGCATAGCAGGACCTACGTACTCTGATGAGCTATATCTGGTATCACAGACATACGATCCTCTTTACATTTCAAATTTTTTCTTGCAATGATGATATCTTCAAAATATTGGAATTTGGTTGAAATTTATGGAGGCCTATTTTCAATGTAAATTGTGCCTCCTTCTTTGCCTAATCCTACTTATCAGAAAAATTCTTTAAAGTCCGTTCTATTTTTCTTATTTTACCACATTATTATGTTATTCTTATTACTTTTCTTATTTTAACAAATTTCAACTTTATATACTTACTTGTTCTACATGGAGAATATTCCTCAAACTTTTCAAACAACGAATCTGAAACGATGCATGTTCCCACAGGATCCCTTCTGTTCATTTCCTTGCTGTACCAAACGTATCGCGGAGCGCATGCCTGCAAAAAAATGATTGAGTCAATTTCATACATTCTTAATTAACTAGTTATTATTAATGAGTCAAAGGCGTATTTCCCTTGTTTTTGTTTTTCTTTGATTTATCTTTGATCTTCGAAAATTTTTATAAACTTATCAGTATTATAAACGGCAATAACCCTGATTTTTTTTAATTGCTTTCTGCGATAGCAGCGGAAACCATAAATATTAATTAATTTCCCAAAAAATTGGTTTTTGATAAGAATGCATCGGCATCTTTATTTATATGTTTACCAATTCTTTGAATGGCGGTGCTATAAAAATATCACATATTTAACCTGAAGTATGTTTAGAAACAATCATACTTTTTAACAATTATTTAAATCAAATTATTCTTGGCTTCTGCTAGTTCTGCTGCAGGTAACAAACTATGGAATAAGTTAGGAAGATTTCTGTATCAAATTCGATTTTGTGAAATTCCAGTTCGAAGATATAATCTTGACACGAATAATGTACAACAATACTTCCTCAGATGAGTTTGGAAGCTCATTACAAGATTTCTACTTGGAGCTCTTTAATGAGGTTTCAGAAAGTTTTTTTTAGCAGGAGAATTTTAAATTTAATAGGTTTCCAATGAATGTGAATGAATATTTTAAATCTCATTCTATCAATGTTTAAATTGGTAGCCAGTAGGTACGAGTTTTGCAATGGATGACATTGGGAAACATAATGAGGATCAGGCCAGGCAGGAACATCGGGGTTATTTCTGGTTGGCCGTCGGCGTCGCCGTCAATCCAGAAATAGATCGACGACATCCGAAACCAAAACGGAATACGGAACGTTTGACTCGAGACTCCTTCACTTTTTCACTTCACAGCAAAATTTGAGATTACATTTGGATTTTCAATTTTAAATATAAGGAAATTGATGATGAAATGTCATGTCTGAAAATTTGAATGGAAAAAATTTCCCGGAATTATTGTTTTTGTGAAAAATTGTGAAATAAAACATTCAATTATCACTTGAAGAGTAGATGAGTTAAACAACAATAAATTGTTATATTTTTATTCCCGGACACCAAGTCGATTGCACTTAAAATCAAGACAATCTATTTGTTCAAAACCCTTTTTGGCTTAAGGGCAGCCCTGTATATATTGCAACTGAAATTATAAAACACGGTACAGAAATAATTACAATCAAATAGAAATAGTTTATACAAAAGGTTTTTTCTTTCGTTGAATAAACCCTTCTATAAATTGAAATACCTTTAAAAAATGAATTATTCAGTGATGTTTTTTTTTTTGAAATAATGCCTGTTTTCGCTGAGAATGTAAAATTTGCTGGTCTTTTTCTTAGCAAAGCCTTTATCAAATAGCACATTCCTAAAACCAAAAGCAAAGCCTGATTTATTTGAGAATTTCAACGGGACGATGAATCCAGCATATGGGAAGGCGATTAATTCGGTTAATTGCGATTCCAGACTGACACGAAACCAAAACAAATTTAAAATAAATGAAAATCACGATGTGGAATATGTTTAAAATAATTTTCGAGAAAATATTATGAGTCATTCAAACCAGAATTAAAATTTCGTTCCTTTCTCCATTTTTCCAGTATCTAGCTGTCATGTTCATAATAATTCAACTCGTGTCTCCAGATTGTATCATTTGTAATATATGTTTAATTCAAATTATTGTCACATTCTAATGTTCATTATTAGAAGCATTGAAACTCGTTAGCAAAATCATCCTATTGGCTCAAGTGCATATAATACGGATAAAGAGTATAAAGGCCCTTCTTATTAACACAAGAAAAGCCTATAAAATGTATATCTTTCGATAACTATAAATATGTAATTGTATTATTCATTTTATATACAATAATCTCCAACTAGTAATCAAATGACTTTATTCATTAATCAAGTCAGGTTGATAGACAACTAAAGAATCAGGATACCAGAGAAATCATGTAAGATATTATTATGTATTAGAAGAAGAGCAATTATTATAATTGATGTACCTGATGTCAATCAAATATCAACATCAAAATTTCCAATATTTTCTGGACAAAAAAATTAACATCTGCGTAATAACAAATTACTTCAGACATACAACTATATCCGTCGAAGGATACCTATCTCTATGTCACCATGATAATTTTGTTGTGATCCTTCAGTGTTTTGCCTTGGTTAAAACTACTATTGTTTTTGGTTTGAAACTTGTAGCTTTATTAGATAATGGAATATAGAATGAAATTGAACTACAGCAAAAGTAAGACTTATTTTAGAGAGAGTTTTAACAAAATGTGTTACTACGACTGGAGCTGTCTTAAGACTGTCTTCTTGCTTCACTAGATCTCTTACAAATCGACCTTCTAAAACGTTTCTAAAACCTACATAATTACAACTGGAAAACCCTAAATAAATATTGGCAATAAATGACAGTCTGTTCGCCCAAAGAATGACCATTAAGGATATTTGGGAATTTTGGGGTTTATGGTGGACAAATGTTTAATTTATTTACATACAACTTTGGGTTCTTTAACAGAAAGTCTGGGCCATATAATAGTATTTCTTTCGGCGACGGCGAGACATTATCTGGGAAAGTATTCGAGGGTCGTAAAAGGTACAATGTCATGATATTATGGAGGAATATGACACTTCCCCCCTTGAAAAAAAAAGAAATTTTCACAAAGAAATTTCTTCAAAACAAATCCTTTAAGAAATACAATTATAAAAAACTAACGTAAAATAATATGAAGCTTAACTTAATATAAAGGTAGGAATAAAAAGGAAAGAGAGAAAAAAAAATGTAAACTAACTTATACCTAAGAATATACAAACATATCTTTTACTAAGACATTTTTATGGACGGTCTTGGGGTGACTGATCTTCGCATGGACATGGAATTCGTAGTGGATGTGGTTGCTTCATTGGAACTTAGAAGGTTATTTAGTTCAATCCCTTCGCCCATTTTTGTTCTGGCTTCTTCTTCTAGAATTCTTGATATGTTTTGACTTGTCCCTGGAGTGGTATTTATATTTGTATTGAAAAGCTTAATACAGCAGGAATCCGATATGTGCTTTGGGCTTTTAGTACAACAAAACATACTTTTAATGCATGATATTAATCCGCACCACTTAAGAAAATTGTACACTATTACCAAAAGAACAACTGACGCGATAAAAGAAATAATGATAATGAACCAATGAGAGTGTTGAATAATAAATGGCTTCTTCAATTCTTCATCCAGCAATTGGTCCAGTTGTCCAAGTTTGTGATTCGCAAACTGTAAATCGTCCAATTTGATATTGGAAAGTCTTATTGGTTGTAGTGTGATTGGTGTGTTGTTGAATCTGGCTTCTTTGGCATAGCAGCAATCGTCAAGTGCAATATTGATATCTGAAATTTGTTTTGAAATATTCCGTGTAATGATTCCTGAGCTTTCCAAGATAATATTTTGAGTATAGCCTCTGCATTTGGGTTCCAAACTTAACAGCCCTGTTGATGCAATTTTTATATCTTCGATTGGAAAATTATCACAAGCCAGAGTAAACTGTACGGGCGTCGATAGTACGAAAAGCCAAGAGTTGTCACTCAGTGGATGCCATATCTCGAAGTCTGCTTTGGAAGTAACGGTATGACAGTCAGCCGGGATTTTGGTAGAAAATGATGTAAACAATGCGACTTCGCACTTAGGAGGTTCTTGAATCCTTGTAGCTTGAGTGTTTTGACAGATGAATTCCTCTTCTGTGATCCTTGTACACTTGGTAAGGTCTTTCATTTGCACATAACTAACCTTACTAATACTTATCAGCAGGTAAGGAAAATCAGGTAGGATATAGGAATGAATATCAGAAAAATTATGAGGTGTTGGAAGTGGCAATAATTTGAACAGATTGTGGGTCATTTCGTCAGTCAATGGAATTTCAATTGCAAAAATAATTATGTTATCAGAATGAAAAACTTTTAGTTTACTGATCTCAAAATATTTGTAAATAGTTGAATAAGATATTGGGAACGGCAATTGAAGTCCGTCGTTCAATTTGATTTCCGAAAGTACATTTAATAATTGTTTTGGTGTTATAACTTTCGGATGTAGGATATTATGTCTGGCCATTGTTATAGCTGAGATTAATAAATCATATTCTTCGTTCAGATCTTCTAATATTTGTGTGAGTAAGGCAATATGTGAACTGATGATAAGTTTCAGTTTGTTTACGTGAATACGTTTATTGGTATCTGCTGAGAAGGAGTTGAAAATTTTAATATTAGAGTTTAGAGTTTCTTGATTAGATTTAAAATTTCGTATACTAGAATTAAAATTAGATATCGTACTAGAAATTATGCCAATTTGTTGTTTCATCAAAAGTTGTGTATTTCTATTACTTTGAATTAGAGTTTTTATCGATTTGTCATAAAATTTAGCATCATCGGCATCAGGCATGCCAAATAGCCAATTGAATGCGTAAGAAGCACCATCAAAAATTCCTCTTTTAGTCTTTTTCGTATTAGTACCGATTATTTCGCTGACAACTTCAGATTTTCCGAGCAATTTATTAAACCGAGATTGGACGACTTTTATAGTATCTTTGCATAGAAAATTTTCAGATTCAACAATTTCATTACTATAACATAGATCGAATGACTTTTTCAATATTCCAGAAATAAATTTTATTTTCTTTTCATATCCAGTTACATTAAGATGAGTAAATAGGACAAATTTAGAATTTGAAAGTTTAACTTGGCCAAGATTATTATAATAAAGACCGGCATGATCGTGGAGATTAGTAATGTGATAATTATCGCCTCTAACACAAACGGAAATGGAAGTTAGTACAAGTAGGAACAGTAGATTAGCGTTATTAATCATTGTTGCTTTGATCTGAAACAAAAGGTTTTATCATATTAGTATGATACGTAATAATTTTTTTTCCTATTTGTAGTTGAATATTATTGTTATTGAAAACTTTAGTGACTTTATATGGGCCTTTAAAGTTAGGACTCAGTTTTTTATTTAGACCA